GATCCAGAAAGGGACGCAACTGGCGAATCAGGCAGACCTGATAAAAAGTCCCCCTGGCCACGGCCGTCATGTGCTCTTCTAAAGACAGCCGTGAGTCCAAGAGGACACCCAAGTTGCGAACCCTCTCCGTGGGGGCCAGTGACTCGCCCCCAATAGTCAGTGATGGCACCAACTGACTATATCGGGATGTCGGAAACCACAGCCACTCGGTCTTGGATGGGTTGAGCCTGAGTCTGTTTCTCCCCATCCAGATCCGCACGGCTTCCAGGCACCGGATGGGCATGGCTTGGTGGTCATGTGACCGGGGGGCGTGGCTTGGTGGCCATGTGACCGGGTGGGCGTGGCTGCACAACTGACTCACACACAATGTAAAAGCAGCTGGACTTCACACAAAATGGCCCCTGCAACAAGAAGAGTCACAGGGAGCTCAAAAACAAACTATCACACTTTACATAAAAATAGCACAAAAGCTACACAACTGACTCACACACAGTGCAAAAGCAGCTGGACTTCACACAAAATTGCCCCTGCAACAAGCAGGAACCTCACAGACAATCAGGCACAGCTGATTGTCTCACAGCTGATCGGTAGTAAAAAAATGCTAATTTTTTTTAAAAAAAAAGTTCCGATGATTGCCCAGCACAGATGATTGTCGAACTTTTTTTAAAAACTTTTTAAAGCATTTTTTTACTACCGGTTCGGGCGAATAGGTAGTAAAAAACACTTTTAAAAAGTTAAAAAAAAAAGTTCCAACGATCGGGCAACACAGCTGATTGTCGCACAGCTAATCCTTGGAACTTTTTAAAGCATTTTTTTACTACCGATTCGGGCAAATGGTAGCATTTTTTACTACCTGTTCGAGTGAACCAGCCCGAACTGGTAGCATTTCACCCCTGAGATAGGTAGAATGCATTGAAGCTACTCCATTTCCACTGGAATTATTATTATCCAATATTTAGGAAGCTTCCTTTGTACCTGGAATGACATTCATAAGGATCAGGGTGTTTTCTATGTTGGTATTTAGTTTCCAACTTTGTTCTGCATGGTAACTTTGTAAGACTTGTTTCTGCCAAATCTGAGAAGGATAATAAGGTGGCTTTAATATAATTTTCCCAAATCATTTCTTTATTAGGCTTTATGCATTTTTCATCTCTTTTCCTTCCCTCTCATTTATGTAAAACTAATGTTTAATCACTTTGAGGATGACTCGATATCATAACTTTTAAAATATTGTATACTCCCAGCTGATGAAAAAATTAAAGCCAAGAGATTACTCATGCAGAATAGTTTGAAAGTTTCTGTATTTACACATATCAAAATTTTGATTTTCCATCAAAATATCATTATGCAGCTCATAGTATTTCAACTTTATACAGTTTTATAAATGAGGTATCAGGAATTGTTCTGTATATTCTCTTATAGAATATCTTGATTTTTAAATGAGGGCTATTATCTGAATGCATCATTGTCTTTAAAAGACACAATTATCCATGAAATATGAAATAGAAATCCCAGTTCCTTTGATGGGAGTGAATAAGGAGGGCATATCTGAATTTGTCTTTTCTGCTATTAAATTTATATCTTCAAAAGGCAGATAATAGCAGTGGGATTTCAAATCTACAACATATTTTAAAATCATCATCCATGATCTGGTCAGATTTATGGGAATGTCACTTTTCTCTTGAGTAGAATTAGCAGCAACTGTTTTCTTTATAACATTTCTATTTGAGTCAGGTAAGCTAAGTGAAAGTCTGCCCTATAAATTTTATTACCTTAATAGTAGGGTAAGTTTTTTTTCTTATCAGTATTGATAATACAATGCTGTAGAATCATTGACAGTCATTTTTTTTTTTAAAAAATAAAGCTTTCCCTTGAAAATGACCACAGAATCTTAAAAGAACCATAGAATTTTGAAAAAACAAGTGTTTGCTTTTATTTATCAGATACATTCTTTCTAGCAAGACATGATATGCTTACAAAGGCGCATCTTCAGAAGACCCAATTTGATGCTACAAAAGCTCTCATTAGTTCTTCAAATTAGCAGGTTCATCATACTATAGCTTTTTGTTCACAAACCTATGCTTAGCAACTTGGTCCCTCCCCTATCAAACAGCCTTTCAGATCACAGCTGCATTGTATTGTCTGCCCCCTACTTGAACTCACTGAAGACGTAATTAATTTGAAAACAAAAAGAGAGTGGGCTGACTTGCAAAAAACTTCAGAATTCTGCACCTGTTTCTGCAGAAATACTGCCAGTATAAAATGTAGTCCTTAATCTGGTATCAGACTCCTTGTGAATTATGGTTTCTGTTTTCTTCTCTGAAAATTTTCACAAACGTTATAACAATTATTGTATTAAATAAAATCAACTATTAGATAACAGAACATGTGAACAACTGCAACGCATGTGTGTGCATTTATACATGCATACACACATACATATATAAATTACATTATATATAAAATGTACTACAGTCCTTCACATGTTATGGGTTAAAAATGATTCACAATTCTAATAATTAATTTTATTTAATACAATAATATATAGTTAATATTATATACAGATATGAGTATGAATATAGATATGGATATATAGATATAGATACAGTACTTGGTTTCAGTACTTTTAAAGTGAATTCTGAAAATTGTATTACCACTGATTTCCATGACACATTAATATTGATTCTAAATCCAAAGGTGCTTTATTCAAGCAACTGGACTTTCTGTTTTTTCTTTGAAGAAGTTTTGCTTCTCATCCAAGAAGCTTCTTCAGCTCTTTGTTTCTTAGATGAGAAGTAAAAGGTCTTCAAAAAAAACCCCAGAAAGTCCAGTAGCCTCTTGAAAAAAGCACCTTTGGGACAACCATGACCTGGATGACTGAGAATCTCCATAGATATTGATTCTAAACATGCTTATCTGGAATTAAATTCCACTGAGTTCAATTGGACTTATTCTAAATTAAACAACAAACAAAACACTGAAAATCTTATGACATCTGAATGATGTCACTTGGATGACTGAGAATCTCCATAGACATTGATTCTAAACATGCTTATCTGGAATTAAATTCTACTGAGTTCAATTGGACTTATTCTAAATTAAAAAACAAAACACTGAAAATCTTATAACATCTGAATGATTAATGGCACAAATTCCTATGAACCTTTACTAGATTTAATTTATATTTTTTGAGAATGTCTCTAGAAAAATTTGATTGCCATATTATTATGGCATTATTATAGAATACATTTTCTTCAAATGTTCTTCCAGAAAAAATGAATTAGATGAATCTTGGGAGTAAAAACTCCATGCTCATAATTTCCTTTAATATCTGGGAAGACCTGTAATTCTTTAGTTTTTTTTTTCAGGACTGTGGCCAAACATTTTATTGCCAAGTTAATATCTGCTTTATGAAACCAGAAACTTAAACAGGAGACAATTATTTTTTTTTAAGTCTCTTAAAATTGACATATGGCTTTTAATATTTGAGGACAATATGTCACTAGAAAAAAGGAATATCTATAGATTGATCTAAGACAGACTTGTGCATTTTACAGTCCTCCAGGCGACATCTGGCCCTTTGGCTGTCTCTGTTTGGCCTGTGTCAGGTCAATTGGAAATTAAAAATCAAATATAAATAACCATGTCATAGTGGATGGAAGAAGGGGCTGAATCAGGTATAGCTCTCTGCAGTCACTCCCTTCAGTTGGCTGGTGACCATGGGAGGAGAAGGAGAGAAAGCAATTTTCTTTGACTGCATAGCACTTATCCCTCACCTAAAGCAGCCTGAGGTGGCAGCAGTGGTTATTTTTGAGGGCATCTGGGCTCAGGTCACTGTTGCTTAGGTTAAAGCGCTATCTTGCAAGCAAGTGCGTAGAGTGTAGCTAGAAGTTATTGTGCCGGCCCTCCACAACAGTCCCAGTTCCTCAGGTTCCCCAGTTCCCAAGTGGTCCCTTGGGAACATTTATTAGCTATCCCTCTAAGAGCATAGTTTAATCAGTATTTAGTACTTAGTCATATATCTGCTCTGCCCACCTTCTGTATTCATTTGTATTTTTTTTTTTAAAAAAAACCTGCATGGAATTTTGACTTCACACATATTTCTCTCTCTCTTTCTCGGTTGTCCCCGGTTCGCATCGGTTCTGTAAAACTGGTAGTAAAACCGGCGGGAGGCTCCGCCCACTGACCCTGACATATATAAAATGCTTCTGCGCATGCGCGGCCTCGTTACAAACCGGTAGTAAAGGTAAGTAGAACCCACTCCTGGTATGTATGTGTATATAAAAGCATTTCATATTATATATGCATGTGTGTATAATATTAAAACATACATTTTGATATTAAACTTATATGTTCATATATGTTTACATATGAGCATAAAATTTATATATGACTAAAATGAATTTTAAATAAGAGTTAAAGCGGAACACTTATTTCACAAATCTCAAATAAAGCTGGAAGGACAAATGTATTCCAATTGACAATTCAGTTTAAAAATCCAAATGAATGTAGTTTGCATTCAAATGCACCAGCATTTTTGGAAATTTTGTTTCCAAAAACAACAGTATCAATCCTCAAACATGTTGGCTTTAGCAAAGTTAGAAAAACAAAGCAAAGTCCAAAGAACAAACTTTTAGATATATACTATGAATTGATAAATACCCAAAGATTAATACAACCACATCAGAGTTTATTTTGAGGCACTGCTTTAGAAAATGAGTATCTAACTTATTGTATTAGTTATGCAAATGACAAATATTTATAGGCAAAATTAAATTTGACATGCAAGTTTTCATTATTGAGTGTAATTTATACAAGCTATTACACGTAAAATGTTATATTTTTCAACAGATTATTAAAAATTAAATATTTTAATACATTTATCTTACTTGAATTCAACAAAACCTTGCAATACTACTTCCTGTCTATTATCCTGTTTGTAAAATAATATTTGCATTGTGAAAGATTTTGTCTTTTTAAAAAATAAACAAAATACTTACTGTAAACTGTATTTGGCAGCCACCCATTATGTAATCTAAGAATGAATGCATCTTGTGAATCTGGAGGGAAGAAAGTCAGAAATTTGTGTTTAAAACCATGTGTTCTTAAATATTTCCCTTTTCTGTTATATGGGAAGGTATATCTTTGTAGCCATTAGTAATTTAGAGAATATTGAAAATAAGCGATATAGGAAATAATGTCTCGCACAGTAAAAATAAATATTCATTCCTTCTCCCTACCTTTACATAAAGGAGGGAAAAAAAGACTTTCAATGCTAAGAATCATAGCATAAAATTGTTTTGAAAGAGAGTTGAAAATTATATAATCATATGGGGTTCCTAGCTGAGATGTCATTTAATGGGAATGGACTGGGGATTTCCAGAAATGGACAATGTTCTATGTCCCAAAGGTGGCTTTTCCAGTCCAGTTGCCTCTTGAAAAAGCACCTTTGGGACAACCATGATCTGGATGACTGAGAATTTCCATATATGATGTTCTATGGTTCAATGCCATACTTAGGATTGCTACAGTATCCGAAAGTCAGTGCACCATTAACAATAAAACTCAAGACAGATCTGTCCATCATGTGAAGTGTTGAAGAAATGAAAAAAAGAACATTCTGTTGCTATTGTTGCTGCTTGTTTAACTTGTGCTTGCTTATTTTCAGACAGTTAGGGACATCAATGAGTGTCTTGGAAAAAGAAGTTTCAATTATTTCTTTGCAAATGCAAGAAGGGAATAAAATAGTTTGATCTGTTTTAACATCATCCGTGGGAATTCTGTAATATTTCTTCAAAGTCAATTTACTCATGACCCTTCCAAGCCAAGCTATTTCTATTTACAGGAAGTCCTGAATTTACAACAGTTCATTTAGTGCATTTAGTGACCATTCAAAATTACAACAGCACTGAAAAAAGGAACATGACCATTTTTCACACTTACGACCATTGCAGCATTCCCATAGTCCTGTGTTCAAAATTCAGATGGTTGGCAATTCACTTGTATTTATGATGGGTGCAGTGTCCCAGGGTCATGTGATCACTTTTTGTGACCTTCTGACAAGCAAAGTCAATGGGGAAGCTGGATTCACTTAACAACCTTGTTACTAACTTAACAATTACAGCGATTCACTTAACAACTGTGGCAAGAAAGTCATAAAATGGGGTAAAGTTCACATAACAAATGTGTTGCTTAACAACAGAAATTTTGGGCTCAATTGCGGTCATAAGTGGAGGACTACCTGTATTTCTTCTTATGGAGTACTCCATCCTTTCCTAAGGTGATTCATGTGGACTGCAATAGAAAAAATCCCCAAGCTTCCATCTTTCTTGATATCTTTCCATAGTGAATAATACTTCAGTGGAATAATAAACTTTGCGTTCTTTTCTGTAGAGGGTTTCTAGAACTATTACGGTAATTACAAAATGCTGTACACTATTTTGCCCTTTATTGCCTAATTTTTTAAAATTTCATTTTGGTCTAATGAAAAAATACATAAGTGTATAGGAAAACATAGATGAACAATAATATCTTGCCAAATTCTAAGAATATAAACATAAGATAAAAAAATGAAGATTTTGCTTGGTAAATCTTGATATCTGGTGATTAGATGGACACATTTCTGTAACTTTCCTGTAGAAATACAGAAATGGATTGCTTCTGCTTTATTCCAAGTTGTTTTTGCTTAAAATTTTTCTTTCCATAGCCCTGAGAGTTTCTGGTGTCTCCCATCCATATATTAACCAGATCAGACAATATCTCAATTAATGACTCAATTATAATAAGTTTTTCTCACTCCTCCATCTGGATGCCCAGTGATTACATTTCCAGCAATTTCAGGCTAACCATCATTTGGACCAGTAAAATATTAAACTTCTTTTTCATTTAAAACCAATGCAATTAAATTATGGATGGTTTTGAAGTAACTTCAGTGCATCCTGATGTTAGATTTATTCAATCCCATTTTCTTTTTTATTAGATTATCCATTTAATTTCTATATTGTGAACATAACAAAGTTCAGTGATGATACTAATCCTTGGTTTACATTATCTAGGTTCAGAAGCTAAATATGATTGCTTTAGTTAGTATCTGCCTGGGGAACTACCAAGAGTAGCAGATGTTATCTAAAAGTCAAAACATGTCCTTGAAGATGACAAACACCAATATAACTCTTTTGATGTGTCCAGAGATTACCAGAATTTAATCTTGACTCTTTATTAGAGACTTTATTAGTATCTTTTAGTATAATGAAGCAAATGTATTCTTTTGAATATACATGGCTGACAGATTGAATGTATGAGGGTCAATGCCCATTTTGGATCTGCAGCTGTCAACCCAATGAAAATGTTGATCTACCATGATGTAGCAACATCTGTTATCCTACCTTTGGGAATCCCAAAATATGCATTTTTATGACATGTTCTATTTTTGACATGTATAAAAATCTATAAAATATGGACAGCAGAACCCTATTCCCTCTCCTGTGTTTACTTTTGTCACGGATGTTGAAAACAATACTTTCACATTCATTATTAAAGCACTGCTTAAATAATAGCACCTTGCACAGATTAAGAATGACGATGCCAGAGTTTTTGTAATTCTTCTTCTTTACTTTATACTTGGGGTTTATACACTCCCACTGAACCTGTGAAAACACAAGTCAGAGCATGAAAGTCCTGTCTTCATTTATCATTTACTCAGATTACATAATGTGCAGTTGAATCTATACAAAACATCACACAAAATAACCACAAGAGATCAGAACTCTTTATTACAAATTTGTAAATATAATTTCAGCTACTTGAGAATGTTGCTACAGTAACTTTGATTTGGCATGCTCTTATTGTAAAGCTGTTATAGTATGGACATATGCTACCCTGTCATTCCATCACTGACCAAGATCTAAAATTGCAAAATGTAGGGCATGACACAGATGATCAGAAGCCATATTGATTGCTGATCTGCAAATGAAATTTATTTCTGAGTTTATAGAAAATTCATTAAGATTTCCTTGACATTTTCCATTTTGAATCTACACACCTTGCAGACGAATGCTCAGATCAAGTTAATGTCAACCACAGTTCTGGGACAAGCAGCCAGACTATATCAGCATCCTCTGATTTATATCAAAACTAACTAATTCAAAGGCTTGCCCCTAGAAAATTCCACTGCAAAACCTGTAAAATGTATATGTATTTTATGCCAACTCTATCTCATCTCTCATAACGGCTAGTATTCAGAAGTTCACTTCTCCTTAATTATTTTAACTAAATCTATTGATACAACTTTTGGAAGAATAGTCCAAAATAGTCCCAATAATAAATTTTGTAATCTGTAAAAAAAGAAGTGCTTTCTTTTGGTCATAAAAACAAGACTGAAAATAATTAAGGAAATATTTTGTAATAACCATACCAAATTTGGCCATTGTCCCAATCTGTATACTTCAACTTCCTAAATTTCCAGCATGGTCATGGTAGCTAGACAGTCTAAGAATTGGTCCATATACCTGGAAGACACTGCAACAGGCTGCTTTATATGGCCATATTTCCCCTAGTGTTTTCTAACTATTAGCTGAGTGAATGAGTTGCAGTATTATCTTGTTGATATATGCTTTAGTGATATCCAGTCCAGTGGCTTCTTCTGGAAGAGTATTACTGGGACAACAAACTAAGCACTGAGTCCCAGATCCTAAATTCTTCTTATTAAATAGTCTAATCCCAGTTCTTAAGGAAATTAAATACTATTCCCTAGTGCAGTCTTCCCTTCCTTAACATTATGCCTTTTGTATATTGTCATTGTCTGGGCTGAATTGAGATGAGGGAAACTTAAATTTATCACATCTGTGGGACATAATATTGGGGAAAGTTGGTCTAGTACAGGGTCTGCAACCTTAAACACTCAAAGAGCCATTTGGACCCATTTCCACAGAAAACAAACACCAGGAGCTACAAAACCTGGGTTGGCATGGCCAACTCCACATCACTCACTCCCGCCCAGTCACATGACCCCCTAGCCATGCCTACCCAGCCAGTCATTAGAGCAGAGAACCAGTTGTTAAAAAACCACAAAACCCTATTCCCCCCTCTCTCTTTCTCCCCCCTCTGTCTCTCTCTTCCTCTCTCCCCCCTCTGTCTGTATCTGTGTATCTCTCTCCCCCCTTTCCCCCTCTCTGTATCTCTATCTCTCCCTCCCTCTCCCCCTCTCTGTATGTCTCTCTCTCTGTCTCCCTGTCTCTCTCTCCCTCTCCTCTCTCTCCCCTCTGTATCTTTCTTTCCCCCATCCCTCTCTCTCTGTGTATCTGTGTGCCTCTATGTCTCTCTCCCCCTCTCCCCCTCTCTGTATCTCTCTCCCCCCTCTCTCTGTATCTCTTTCTATCTTTCCCTCTCCCCCCTCTCTCTGTATCTCTCTCCCTCCCACTGTATATCTCTGTATCTCTCCCCCCTCTCTGTATTTCTCCGTGTGTCTCTATGTCTCTCTCCCCCTCTCCTCTCTCTACCCCCTCTCTGTATCTTTCTCTCTGTATCTTTCTCTCTTCCTCTCCCTGTGTATCTCTGTGTGTCTCTCTCTATGTCTCTCTCCCCCCTCTCCTCTCCCCCTCTCTGTATCTCTCTCTCCCTTCTCCCTCTCCCCCCTCTCTCTGTATCTCTCTCCCACTGTATATCTCTCTGTGTATCTCTCTCTCCCTCATCCCTCCTTTCTCTGTCTCTTCTCACTCTCTTGAAAGCCCAGCAATCTCTCTTTAGGGCTCTTCGCTACTCCTTTTCTTTCTTCTTGGCAACTTTGTGGAAATCAGGACTGGCTGAGGAATGAGCACAAGCCACAGTGGAGGCTTTCCTTCTGGTGACCCTCCTCCTCCTCCTCCTTCTCACGACCCCCTGGCTGGCTGTGGTGGGGCCAGGAGGGTATGCACGAGTGGGGAGACCCTCAAGCGAGCAGCTGGCCTTGGCCAAAGTGCAAGCAGGGCAGCTGGCCACTCACTTGAGAAGAGTATCCCCACTCATGCACACCCTCTCGGCCCTGCCACAGCCAGGGGTTGTCAGAGGAAAAGGAGGGAGAGAAGGAGGGAAACCTCCACCGCGGTTTGAGCTCGTTCTTCAGCCAGCCCAGATTTCTAAAAACTTGCCAAGAAGAAAGGAAAGGAGTAGCAAAGAGCCCCAAGGGGAGCTCGCTGGGCTTTCCGAGAGAGTGAAAAGAGATACAGAGCAAGAGAGAGAGAGAGAGAAAGAGAGAGAGAGAGATACACACACATACATGACATAGAGAGAGAGGCACAGAGAGGGGAGACTGGCTGATGGGTGAGTGTTTTTGGTGAAGATGCTCCAGCTTTCTCTAAGCCTGACCCTCGGGCTGGGCATGCGAGGTTCGGCAGGGCCAGCCCCCTTTTCTTGCTACCCTGACCTTCTTAAAACCATGGTTGGGTGCTGTGGGCCCATCCCCCTTTCCATCTTCCCCTCCTCCTGGATTCCATTCCCACCCCATCAGCCCTCATGTTAGTGAGGCGGGCGTCGTTCGTGGCCAGATCAGGCCAGTGTCTCGGGACGGAGAGGAGGTTGCGCATCTCTCCAAGTGACCTTGTTGGTGCATGCTCAGCACCAACAAGGGCTGGAAGAAGCTCCAGCAAGAGTGAAGCACCAGAGAATCAGCTCCATCCACTTCTCTATCCCCTGCTGTTGCCCTTTCCTTCTCAGGACAGATGAGGAGTGACTGGGAGGGGAGGGCGAGGGGTGGTGCCAGCCAGTGATGGGACAGAGAACTGCAGCAGAGAGCCCAAAGACCCGCATGGGGTTCCAGAGCCACGAGTTGCTGATACCCAGTCTAGTACAAAGAAATAAATGTTGAGACTAATAGTTTAAAGTCCTAATGTGTTAATATAAATTTTATGCATATAATGAATAACTAAGAAATTAATTTAAACTGAAATAATATTGAATTAATTTTTACTGAAATATATTCCCAAATATACAAAATGGGGATATTTTATGGCTATTTAATATACTAGGCACTGATACTGATTAATTCTCCATCCCAGTCAAACCAGAAATTTAAGTTTTATCTTTTTATTATTTTAATTTTTAACCAATAATATAAATGTGTTTTTCTGTCTATCTTTTCTATATATGTTTATTTGAAGTTATTCCAGTTCAGTCCATTAGCGGACTCACCTGCACAAGCACTTAATCTCTGTGAAAACATTTAATGGATTTGAACATATTATTTGAAGGGTAAATAATCAGCCACACTAAGAGAGGCCACTTTGTGCTACAGTCACAGATTGCTTGAAATGACAATTTACATTTATAACACAATCTGATATTTAGCAATTCACTCAGTTCAATGGAATGTATTTCCAAGTAAGTGGGCAAAACCTATGCAACTTATTTGGGAATAGGTTCCACTGAACATATTGGTATTTTGAACAGAAGTATGCAAGACTGCACAGGAAGAGCAGAAACATGTTGTGACCAAAGAAGTCTCGTAGCACCTTTTTGATAAATACAATTTATTAAAAGGTATACAATTTTGTGAGCATTCTTTAAACCAGGAATTAGCAACCCTTTAGTAACCCCAAAAAACTCAACATTGCTTACATATGTACATTGGCTGAAATTTGTCTTTTATAATTGTTTTTGTTTCCCATTTCATTTTTACATTTTCCAAGCCTTAGAGCTTTGGTATATTTCTGCATCAAAATCGGAACTCCATCTTCTGAATATTGGAAACATAGATACATAAGATCACAGCAGGTTGTAGCAACTACTCAACCTTGGGGAATTCAAAAAAGCTAAGTAAAGTCAGATCTGCTCAATAATTGAAGGGCAACCACAAGGAAACTCTAGGGACATAAGCTAGAATCAGAAGTTTAAGAAATGGGAAGAATGCAATCAATGATAAACTATTTGTATGTTGTTGCCAAGAAAATTGCATAATGTTGTTCATGTAGTCCCTAGGAAAAAAGTTTGGTTTCAGGAAGACTTTTCTTTGAGAGCAAGGAAAGTCTCCAGGAACTCCCCCAAAAAAAGGGCTTTGACAACACCACATTGAGATTGGAGGTTCCCTTTTATTATCAAAATAGTAAAAGTAGAATCAAAGATATAACTAGTGTAAATGTTCTGTAATTAATTTCTTTTTATGGCATTAACTCTTCTTCTAATGATTACCGATATTAATTTTAATTTGATAGGCGTTCCCATCCAGTTGTCTCAGTGTAGAGATTTCAGCATGAATGCATGAGCTGTGCATGAGACTATGTTGACCCCTTCTCGCTAATGTAGGAAAATGTGTAATCCCACAGTACGCATGATATAATTTTGGACTCTGATAAAGGTGAGTTTATATGCACTCTGCTTATATACACATGCATCAGAGCCTGGCAGAGCTTGGATTTTTACTACAGCTGATTTTAACTTCCCAGAGGCTGATAGAAGGAGCTGCTAGCTGTGAGTGGGGGAGTCTGAGAATGAGTACAGAGGAGAAAGGTAGCGGCCCACGCGCCGTTAAGTGCGTGAATCATATAACTATAAACCAAAAATAGCAATAATACATTCAGGGTTAGTGATTGTGATTTTATTTTATTTCAAAATGACCAGCTTAGTTCAGTGTAATATTTGTTTTGCAGCTGTCTTTCGCAGTACTCTTTTAAAATTT